TCCGGCACAAAATGCTCGGTTTGAGTGTTAGTGAAGTTGCAGTTAATGCGTGAACTAGAAGCAAGATGAAGCAAGCCGCAGAATACTTTCATACCTGTCAGTCTTACGTGCGGTGACAGTGATGCAAAGGCTGTTTTGTGAGAGCATGAACGCGGGCTTGTTTGGCCTATGCCGCCCGTTGTGGTGTGAGACCCAAGTAGAGCAAGAATGTGACTCTCAAAAATGTCAGCCGCTGTGGTAGGGCTGGGGGCGTGCAGCAGCGCCCATTCCAAGCCTGCTCGGCACCGCCTACGCGTGCCGTTTCCCCGGATCGCGGAGGCTCAGGCTTCAGTTCTCTTAATTTCATGTCTCCAGAACTGCAGATTTAGGAATTTAGGCGACTGCATTGAGCCCTACACGTACAAGACAATGCAGGGCTGGCGCATCCACCTGGTCGTGCCTCGCTGGATGCCATCCAGATGCCCTGCGAGTCTGCACCTGAGAAGGGAGGCAAGATCTCAAGCTGAGCATGGTTTTTGCAATGGCGGAAAAGCATGTTGAAATTCATGGGGACGTGCAACATGGCCGGTGGACCGGCTGGGCCTTAACGCTTAAGGGCAGCAATCCACGAATCAAAGAGCAATGCGATGGTCTGAATCCGAGGCAAGCTCTGACACCAAGCAGCCTCCTGCAGGCGACCACATTTGCTTGGGAGCTGCGTTTTGCACGCCCGTATAAGAGGCTGTGGAAGTGAGCTTTGGTGATCAAAGCTCGCATGTCAGAGGGCCTGAATCTGAATCTGGGACAGTTCAAAAGCTGCAAGAGTCCTTTGTGAGGCCCGCCCGGTGTCAGCAGAGGCGCTGACGCAACAGCATCAACAGCATCAACAGCGCCACACCATCGCCTCCTCGCGAAGCCCCGATCTCCGCCCAGGCCAAAGATGTGAGGGATGGTTCCATGTTTGCATGCGCCGACGACTGGCGGCGTTTCTGTGCACCCAGGGCTGGTGTACAAATATGCACGGTCCGGACACAAGGCTCAGTCTCAGACTCTGACATGGTGACGTGCTAGACCACGCACAGCAAAGCGCTGTGCAACTTGCGCACAGCTTTTTCATGCCACGGGGACGCTCAGGGGACGCTTGTCTCATGTTTGCATCGGTCATCTGGGAGGCTTATTCAGCAAATCACTCAGCACTTGCATGAGTGGCTGCCGGCAAATTTGAGGCTTCGTTTGTTTTGGAAAGACAGAGATGTTGAGTTTAGAAACGAGTTGAAAATTCGTCTGATATGAATCTCCTCCCAGCTGTCTTACTGAAGTCGCGGAGGTGCAGCCCCTCGCGGCAATTCACGACTGGGAGCTGTGGTGGAGGCGACGAGAGTTCCGAGCGTCTCCCGATGGTTTTACACCCCGGATTTGCGCCATCTTTCCACTAACTCTACCTGGGAGATCTGAGCGCAAGGCCATGGCTGCAGGGCCTTCAAACTACAGCAGTTATGTTTGAGTGTCGCAGTGAGATGCTTGCGTTTAGAGCTTGTAGCACGGTAGTCGCAGAGGGCTGAACAGGCCCGCGGTTGCACGACACCGAGGGCAGCGTCACTGCACAGCCATCTGCAGAAATCCGAAGTGCTTGAAGCAACCTCGCACAATTGCAGCAACACTGTTTGCTTAGGTCGTCCAAGAACACTGAACAAGTAAAGAACAGGGCTTCTTTGCATTCTTCGCTGGCCTGTGTCGTCACTGTCGTGCATATATAACCATATAACCCAAGCCAACCCAAAGCCACGAAAGATTGAAGCGATGATCGTTTGTCGCACGCCCCTCAAACATAACTGAGTGCACAATCCGGAGGGATTGTGAACTGCGTGCACAATCCGGAGGGAGTCAGTCGAGCATGCTTGCACAGGAGGAGACAGGAGCGCCGAAGCCGCGTCCGACACCGCAGGTGCCTTGCTCGGTTCAGAAGCTTGGGGGTTTCGGCAGGTTATGGAATGCTGTGGTGAGCCCTCCCGAAAGGCCTAGCTGCAAGGCCAAAGGTGGCCCTTCAGGTCTTAGTCGTAGGTTCCGGTGATGGCAGGTGCCATTTGTTGTTTGAACGCTGGACTCGTGGGTAGTGGCACTAGACCTGTACATCCCGATGGCCATAAGGCGTGTGGGGCAAGGCAAAGGCCCTTAAGGGACGGGGTAACGGCAAAAGCTAACCGCTGAAAGTGCAGTAACGGTATCTGCTCTTGTTCTTTTCCTTCTTCTTATGGCATCATCCTATACCATCGTGCATAGAGTAGCGCCGTAAATAGGATGTTTTGCAGGTGGACAAGCGCCCTTCTGCCTTGACCGTTTCGCCGAGACTGATGGAAGCAGGCAGGGCGAAGCAGTGCATCCCAGAGATCTGTCATGATCCGTCGGACTCTGAAGCCACTCTCACGATCCTGCGAGATGGCAGATGCAACGCATGATTGCTCTTCGATCTGTGTAGCTCGCTCAGAAGGCGTGCAACCTTGATAGCATTGGGCCTGAGAATTTGCCTATTCATCGTGCCGGTAGTGCAACAACCGGGCTCCATGCGCTGGAATCCGCGCTTCTTGAGAACCTTCAAAGATAGGGTAGTCCCGAAAAGAGGATGCCTTGTGATACCCTGTGTATACCCGTATCCTCCCATCGCATCGGATGTCATGAAGGAGCATGTCGTGGTTTTGCAGGTCGTGGTCCACAGCACTGGATACACCCTCTAGACCGCAAGCCCGAAGACGCTAGAGCGTCAGAACCAGACCAGCCTGCCTGCAGATCGTCTCGTCAGTGCTCCCATGCCACAGGCCGATCTGCTGGGTCCAATTTTCAGAGTTCTTCGCTGGGCTTGGGGTCCTCATGAGGCAGTCGTGCAAGGTAATAAGAGTTGGCTGGATGCAAGCTTGTCTTTCATTTTCCCGGGGTGGGAGTGAGAATCGTGCCAGCCGAAGCCCTACGTGTGTGTGTATGTGTGTGTGTGTGTGTGCATATGTATATATATATATATCAGAGAGCGACAGCTTTCTTGGTGACATGTCGATTTGCAGGCGTGCTAGTGATGATGCGAGCAATCATGGTTCTCCCCAGTTCTGCAAGCAGCAACTGCAGGTGCGAAAGGACGGTGGGAGGCCTTCGCAAGGCGGGACCTGCAGCACGCCAAGCGGCGCCTTGTCATAAACGGCTCATGTAGACATGTTTCGTTTCCGTAAATTATCGTATGCAAAGATGCACACAGAGACAAATATGTACATACGGTACCTACAAGACGAGCGTAAGTGTATCCGCACAGTAGGTGACAGCGTATAACCTAGGCATAATTGCACATAAGAATATGTATATGTAGATGAAGATATGGATACAAGTCTTTTGAGTGCATATGTACCTATGTATACATACACATGCACAGCATCATAGGGTTGGCGGCAGTGGCCGGCCCTGCCGTCTCCCGCTCTCCACCACTGCACAAGTTCGGCCTGCAGTTTCCGCAGCGCGGCTGCCTCAGATCCCTGGATCATTTGCGGCGGCATCCTGCCCACAGTCTAGAGTTTATCATGACTTCTGTACGTTCTGTGCAGAAATCCTTTAGATGCCGGCCTCAGCGCAAAAGTTTGGCAAGCGACAAAGGGTGGGCGTCAGATTTTTTGGCTGGCACTCGATTTTTCGAAGAGCCTATAATCTACACCTGTCCTTCATACCAGTAACAAAACCATGATTTTGAAGATACTTCATACGAGCAGCGAAATTTGCAAGCTACAGCACTGACAGAACCGGCTGGTTCAATGATTCACCGAAATTCAACAAGGTCCCTCGTGACTATCGCCTGTCGCAACTGTGCCAACAGCACCCAGAGATGGCAGCAGAGACTGGCATGAACCCGTGATCTTCAATATTTGTGAGGAGAGGGTTCAGGGTCTAGGTTCGCCCCAAAGCGCAACCCACCCAGCAAGTTAACATCAAACGCCGCGGCGGGGGGGGGGGGGGGGNNGGGGGGGGGGGGGGGGGGGGGAACGAGGTCAAGGGCTTCGATATCATGATCCGCACGACGCACGACAGCCAGTGCTTCTTCACACAGGGAGCCCTGAACCATGTGCATACACACCTCCCTCTGTCTCTCTGAACTGCACACACAGAGACACGCCTCAAAAGGTCTCTGCACAGGGATACAGACGTCTATTCAATGACTTGCATATGCCTGCCACGCATGTGTACAGAAGTGCGGGGGCACGCGTGTATCGGCATGTGTACATGAACATATGGACATTGTGTGTATGTATATACATGTATACATA